CCAGTTTGAAACAAAAGCACTATGAAGCAGGAGCGACTGAGCTGAATGACATATTAGGAAAAAGGGCTGTAGCATGGTTTCAGTTTGCAGAGAGATGACCTTCTCTTGCTCTCTTGGGTTAAAACGTGTCAGGACAGCAGATTGGAAAATGCTGGTTTTATCTCTGGATGCACAGACAGCATCTCAGATGTACCTTCTATCTAACATCAGCACAGGGGGAAGTGGTCTAGGAAATAACGTCATTATTGCACCCTTATATCCAGGGTCGGCTCTAGAACAAATCGAATGGGGGGGCAATCATTTACCACGGGGGGGCACACACTGCCGTCAACAACCAACACACAAACACCAACACAACTTCAATTTAAAAAAACATGCTGTGAAGTCTCTTGTTTTCACACACATTGCAGGGGTGTAGTGCTATTTTATAGCGCACCTACAGTATGACTTGTGCATACATGCACGGTTGTGGCACGACCACCAAAACAGAAACATATGGACATATATAAAAAGTATAAAAAAGTGTGCAAATGTATTTAGTTTCCTATCCATGTGAACATGTTTTAGGTGGGGGGTGGACCTAACCCCCTCTAGGAGGGTCTGGGGGCATGCTCCCCCGGGAAGATTTAAATATTGAAGTTAAATGCATCAATCTGGTGCACTTTGAGAGCAACATGAAGAGATCTATGGATACCTCTCTCAACACCCATATGAAACAGAACTGTGAACAGATGTACTTTTTCTTTATGGATATTTTACTAATCACTCCCCTTTTAAACTGTATTCTTGTGTTACTGTCCTATAGTATTTCATACCTGTTTTTCATTTATTCTCTTATTTTTTAATAACTATAATGATCATATAAAGGTGTTCCTCGCAAATACTTGTTTACATAAATGGTGACCAAACCGTTTGAGACCCACTGAGATAACTTAAGTTAACTATCTAAACACTGAGAGAGTCCTTTACCTCACTGAGCTGACGTTATAAGACCCTCTCAGGCTGACAGGAGAGGACTCTCCTCCACCTTGGTGTAGAAACAGCTCTTTATATTCGTTAGCATAGCTAGCTAACCAGATGCTAACAACAACATTCCACGTTACCGCTCGCGCACTCACAAAATGCGCTCGTGCCACACACACACAGAGCCGAGCTTGAATGAAACACAGAGACCCAGAAGTACTTGTACTGTACTGTATATCATATTATTTTCGATGGCTTTACTGTATAATCAGTATAACAGATGAACAGATCGCCACTGGGCTTTCATCTAAACACACAGCCACGTAATGATAACAAAACAAAGGTCGGGGGCCATTGGTCAAGCAACACACCAATCAGAGAGCAGCAGTGAGCACACCTCAGGCTGTGTTTTATATTTGTATTCTTTATTTCTGATTTATTTCACACAAAAAACGTTTAATGGAAACGTTTTCACTTTGCCTGCGTTGGGGGGGAACAGTGACTCATTTGGGGGGGGGCATGGCCCGCTAATGACCCCCCATGACGCCGACCCTGCTTATATCACAGTTAAATCACGAATATTACACCCCTATAACACCCCTACCACTCCATTACTACACCTATGTTACACCAATACAACACCATTAATACACCCTTAATTCTCTGTTAAATCACCCATGTAACACCCCTCTATCGCCCATATTACTGTGTTATTAAACCCACATTACACCCCTATAACACTCATATTAGCTATGGATGCAGGAGGGTTGAAGCCATATAATAAATAAAACAAGAATAAAACAAGAATAAGGTATGAACTAAATAAAAAATAAAATTACAATTAAACAAAATAAACGTAAATAATAATAAATAAATAAAATACAGTTTATTACACGGCTACATCACATAATGCATCTTATCGTTATGTGAAATACATTTAATCAAAGTCAACGTTTCAGTTTTTTCCGTGAAGGCTGACACATAAATCACATATTGTCACGACAAAGGCGAGGGGTTAAAATCATCGACTCCTTTCCCTATCTGGGGACTAAATGACATTCAGTCCCACTGTACTTAAACACAACAACAGATCAACACCATGGCTGCAGGTTTTCATACCTGCAGCCATGGTGTTGATGACCCCCTCTTTTCCTAGCGAATGCAATTGATCCAGATGTTTTCCAGCCGCTCACAGCCAGGAATAAATGCCAAGGGGGGTAAATGCCAGTTTGATGAATCGGCTGCTGCATGTACTCGCTGCGTGGTGTACATTTGATTTGCTAAAACCCTTCCTTTACAGCTCAGGATGGAGGAAACCCCCAGAGGCCATCATCTACCTTCTAAAGTACATATATCATGCATCGTGAGAGACTTACAGAGCCTGGTGGGCGACATTTAAAATCTGATTCATCATCACGATAACCGGGCATCTGGACTATATTTTGTCCTGAGGTTTTGCATCAGGCCCCCTATGGTTTTCTGCTACGACTAAAAGGAGCTTTGGGACAGATTTCGGGAGAATATCATCCATTTGTCTCAGTCTAAAAGCTTTTCAACGCGAGATCCCACCAGGTGTTACAGTAGATAGGAG